TTTTTTTTTTTTTGGTACCCAGGATTGAATTCAGGGGCACTCAACCAGTGAGCCCCTACACTGGCCATATTTTGTATTTTATTTAGAGACAGTGAGTTGCTTAGTACCTCACCATTGCTGAGGCTGGCTTGAACAAGCAACCCTCCTGCCTCAGCCTCCCAAACTGCTGGGATTACAGGTGTGTGCCATTGCACCTGGCCATTCTTACATCTTTTAGAATAAAAAAGCAAGACGATCTCTTTTCCTCTTATCATAAAGGATCATGGCTAACACCAGTATAACAAAAGATAGATTAACAAGAGAAAAAGCATAACAAATTTATTTAATCCCAGTTTTACGTGACATGGAAGCCTTCAGATAAAAGACCCAAAGGCCATGTGAACTATTCATTTTCATGCTTAAGTTCCACTAAGCAGGGACAGCCATGCAGAAATATGATTGGACAAAAAGGGTATGACCTAAAAGTAAAAGACATGGCAGGATACCCAGACAGGCTTGTGTGTTCAGATTTCTCTTGGCCCTTCAGTTGTAGCATTCCGGCTAGGTATGGGGCAGGACCCTTTTTGGAATGAGGGGGCTTATGACCTACACTCAGGCAGGTCAGAGAATTTCCTTATGGCCAATTCTTACACAGAAAGGCAGAGGAAGTGAGAGCAACATGTTCAGATTTTGTAGCTTGCTTATGGAGAAGGGGTTCAGGTCTCTAGGACCTGCCTTGAGGAAGAAAAACTAGTTTCTATGGCTTGCCTTGGGAAACAGGAGCCAGGAAGACAAGAAAAGGTCACAGACTGACTGCTTTCCTTAGGCTTATTTCTGAAGCCTTCACATTGGGGCATCATTTTTAGAGCCCCAACAAGAACAAAACCAAGGTGTCATTAAATTATATACATATAATAAGAGCTGTTTCACCTACTCTCTGTGAACCACTGGAGAGGTCACCTCTGTGAGTCACAAGACTGTCATCTGTAAAGTGGTCCATCTCCTTTGATTGATGTTTAGCTAAAACAGACAGTGCATGAGGAGTGGGAGGGCTGGGGACATAGCTCAGTGGAGTGTTTTCCTAGCACACTCAGGGCCCTGAGCTCAATCCTCAGAAGCACAGGTGGAGAAAATGCTGCCCAAGATTAATCCTAAATCAGTAGAACGTAGCTAATTTCATTCTTAAATTATGAGTAGAACAGACTGTAAAACTCCATTTACAAAATGTAAATAAACTTTGTAATTCTAGAAAGCTAGAGCTTTTAGCATTAAGAAATAAAAGTTCCAAACAAGAGCTTTTAGCATTGCTACTAAACTTACTTCCATCTAGAAAAATAAACATGAAATAAACAGAACAACCTGAAGTTTCAACCACTCTCTAGAAATTATAGCTCTCTGGACTGAATACATTTCACCTCAAAATACCATACTGGGGGCTGGAGTT